TTACATGAGAGCAAAGGCAGGCATACAAACGTGAGGAATTTGAATATAGAGTTACCATACAGGTATAAGCAAACATTAACAACTTTTTTTTTCTCTTGGCACCAATTACTAATAACAAATTTTAAAAAACTGCAATAAAGAAAGACTAGAAAACAGGCAGGGAACTTGATAACTATACAGATAAGTTCCAAGACTGTAACACTAGATTGATTAGTTCTTGGTCTCCTAAGCATCTTACAGAACAGATTTAATTGTAACAGGTTGATTCCCCACTGCTTTTAATAAAAGTTACTGATATTGATAAAATAATATAATAAAGGTCCATCTTTTTCTTGGTAGTTAAACCCAAGATCTTTCTTACAACAGTTTTAATAAAGGAAAACCTACAAGTTTATAGAAGTCTGATGTCTTGAACACTACCTCCAGGACTGCATATACCACCAATGGACATTTTGGACAGATATACACACATGAACAGCTTTTGACCTAAACCACATCATTCTCCTCAATCAGCCAACACTTAATTTTTCTCCCTTGTATTTGTATTTGCATTCAATGGATTTCCTGCCTGCTGTTTGTGCTCAATTTATCACAAACCTAATTTTGCTGCTATTCAAGGCTTCTATCATTATCCCTTGCTGAATTGAGCCTCAAAGTAACACAATTTGCAACTGGTGAACTCTTTGAAACAAGAAATCCTTACAAAATGGCCAAAGCCTTTCTCTGCACAGGAAACAGGACATCTCCTCTCCACTTGTCTAGAGGCCAAACAGCACTGACTCAGCTATTTAGCCATCACCAAAGAAAAAGCATCTCGGCTTTAAATGCTTCTTTTCCCCCTCCACCATCCTGCCTTTGCTTCTTCATACAAATACTGGTTTTACTAAGCAGAAGTTTGACTAACTGCAGTTACACTGACTGAAAGAGTTGCTTTATGCCTACTGGTCAGCTCCTTCGTATCATACAGGCTATGCAGTAGCAAAACTCTGCAGAATAGTTCCTCCACTACCCTCCAGCTCTCTCATCACATAAGCAAATAATGTTACCTCTCTTTCCCACATGTGCTGCAGCACACTGGATCTGGCCCCAAAAACTTACAAGCCAACAAAGTAGAATCCTAAGGGCATCCACTTGACAGATTTAGTACCCAGCTTTAGGATCCCTGAACAATCTAGCTTCTAATAGTGTTTTTCTGAGTGATCTTGTTCAACATTTCATTCATGGCAAGCTTTGTGGATACTGCTTGCCCTACTTAAAGTAATGAGTATAACAGAATTATAACTAACACAGAAGTCTTACCTTGTTCCTGCACACAGTAAGGGCAACGCTGCCTTCCTCAATGCTTCCAAGCTCATTAGAGTCAGTAGTTATTTGTTAGTCTGCAATGTAGACATGTTATAGGCTAACAGATGCACGTAAGGGTGGTAAACAGCAGAGCACCCAATTTCAGCAGCAGAAAATAAACGGAGGCTTTGCCAGAGACAGTATAAACAATATACCATATTGCCTGTACTATCTACTAAGTACTGCAGAAACAGTACTTTGGGATGTGACAATTACTTCAAGAGGCTAATATATCCAGGTGAATCATTTATTACAATCTGTATTATAACAGATTATTCTGGACTGTGCTGGGAACTCCACTGTGCTAGGGCAAATATTCAGAGTGAAAAGTAATCAAATTTTGAACATTTTACCACAGGACATGCGCTCATGACTGTACAGAGAATTAGAAACCACTTTGCAGTACCTAAAACATGCGAAGGTCCCACTGCAAGGTGTGCCAATTGCCACAGCCAGACACAGCTGCAATCAGCTGGATGTTTCCATCTGACTGATAGTCATTTTTTTCTGGAGAAGTCAGAGTTCAGGAGGTGGGCAGAGTGCACTGCCCTAACTACTAAATGTGGTCTCCCACCTCTGCATGCCACCCACATCAGAGGACTGGGCAATGTTGAATACTTGCCCTCTCTTTTACATGTGTTTGGCTCAGCAATCTCTGTTTTGTTCTCTGGTTTTCTCATGACAATAAATGTTGATAATATCAAGCCTAAAAAATCCTCTATGCCACAATATGCGGTCATTACATATGTGGATTGGCCTTTCTCACTGCAGCACCTTGCAAAGAAATGCTGAGCTCCTCTGTTATTTTGATGTGAATTCTCAGAGCACTGCAGGCAAGAAAGAAGGTCAAGGCTGAGTCATACAACTATGATATAAAAGGCGCTACTAACACCACACACTCTTGGCAGATCACTTAATTCTCCCAGACTCAACTGGGGCCAGTGATCTATGAATTACTTTAGATTTCAGTTACACATCTACTTCTGTTTTCTTTCCATCTTCCAGTACTTCACAGGATAGGTTATGAATACAGATGATAGACCACAACCAAACCCAGATGAACTCCATTTGTTTAGCTACCTGCCCACAAGTCTCTGGTGGGATTCCAGTGTCATGCTGACTCTTGCAGAACCACCGTCAAATCTAGGATAGTAAGCTTGGCTAGACCTAGGCTAACTGTCCAGAGCTATTATGATACCTCTATCATATTTTTGCTTTCCTGCACTTCTAGTCAGAACAGGAATACCACAATTAACTAAGGTCCAGCAAAGCTGATCAATGTGGCCTCCATGCCGCTTGCTGTGTGCTCTCTTCAGACTAAACTGTCCTTGGCTTTCATGCTGTCCTGGGTTCAGCAGTAGCAGTCATTTTTCTCCTTCTTAGTAGCTGATGCAGTGCTGTGTTTTTGACTTTCAGCCTGGGAACAGCACTGATAACACCGATGTTTTTAGTTGTTGCTCAGTAATGTTTACTCTGACCAAGGACTTTGTGAGTCTCATGCTCTGCCAGGGAGGAGGGGAAGCTGGGAGGAAACAGAGACAGGACACCTGACCCAAACTAGCCAAAGAGGTATTCCATACCACAGCACATCATGACCAGTATATAAACCGGGGGCAGTTACCTGGAAGGGCTAGATCACTGCTTGGGTCCAGCTGGGTATCGGTCGGCAGGTGGTGAGCAGTTATATTCTCTCCCCTTGTTATTTCCCTTATCATTATTATTATTGGTGGTAGCAGCAGTGATTTGTGTTATACCTTAGTTACTGGACTGTTCTTATCTCAGCCCATGGGAGTTACATTCTTTTGATTCTCCTCCCCATCCCTCCGGGAGTTGGGGGGGCATGGGGGGAGAGTGAGACAGAGACTGCGTGGTCTGATTTATGGCTGGGCATAAACCACAACACACGCTGTCCCTGTTTGAGCCTGCAAGCTGCCCATGGATAATTTAAATACATCTATATAGACTCTGGAACATTCTAATTCAATTTGCTTTAAAGAGAGGTGCTACAAATCCTAAAAATTTACTATTACAGTGGAAAATGCTCTGTCAGAGTAGGCTTTTTCCCAATAACAGCCATGAATGTGCTTTCACACAGATGAGAATTTGCATATCTGGAGTGGGAATTCTTTTTTCAGCAACACAACTTTCAGAATACCCTGTAACTCCGTACTCCACAGGGTGCTGTAGATAGAGCAAACAGTTTGCATACTATCTGACAATACACTTCATTTCCCTCAGTATCAGAATGTCAGATTACTTGATCCTGAACAATAATAAAATGTGTGGATAAAAAAAAAAAAAAAATCTTCCTGAGCTACTATCACCATGCTATTACTTTGTATATGTGTTCATAAACATATTATAATGTCTAGCATGTTTCTGGCAGATAGTTAACTAAGGATCAAAAATTTCACTGAAATTAGGATCATGATTAATTTCTAACTGGAGTTTCTTTTAAAATCCCAACCTCAATTTATTTCTCTCAGTTATAGTATCATTCATTTTCTCTGTCTTTTTAATTTTTAAATCCTATAGTTATAAAAAATTTAGACTGAAATAATTCAGGAGAGTCATTTCCAAAGAGAGATAAGAACAGAAACATTTCTGTCATTGATGTCTTATTAGTGACAGAAGATTTATTTTTCCTCTAACTTAGTTTACAATCAAAAAAATAAGAGACTGTCCCTACAGACAGTACTAAACTGATTTAACCAAACTACAAATACAATTGCTGAGTTTGATTTCCTTAAAGCTGTTATTTCAGTAAATCTACAACATAAATACTTCTAAAATATAATGGCAAAATGCACCACTTGCTGTTTTAGTTATTAAAATGGTTAAAATAAGAGAGTAAAATCACACGTTCAGTTCAGTAAGCACTCATCATGTTTATTGCAATGATGTATTTTTTTAAGGGTCTGCAAGTTTTCCCTCCAACCATTTCCCCATCGCCAGACCTGCTGTTTATTCAAAGGATCAGATGGATCACCACGGCTGAAAAAAAGTTGAGCATTAACTGTCTCTACAAACAGTCCTACCAGAACAAATACACTGAAGGGAAAGTTGCTAACTCCCTTAGTCCCATCCATCTCACCAAGCCGTTGTGGAATAAGAGCGGACATATTTACCCTGCCTGACATGCATGTTTCCTAGGAGAGAACAACCCAGTGAAGGAGGCTCCATGGGCATTCAGCTGGTACATACTGCTTGACTAAATTGCACCTTTCACCACTAAAGCTAAACCGTTTCACTCTCTTACCTATTTTATCAGGCAGTTCTGCGCTTTCAAAAAGAACAGTTCTTATTTCTTCCTTAGTCAGATCTTGTGATAAAATCAATATTGAACATTAAAAGGTTATTCTTTCAGCAATAAAACACTTGCTATCAAATGTAAATTGATTAAAGTTCTAAATGATCTTGGGAACTTTTAATGGATATTTAGTGGCATATTAACAGGACTTAATTTAAGTACTCAAGTGTTTCAGGAGACATTTCAAACTTCCAACTTTCATATATATGACAGAAATTACTCATTCTGGCCATTGTATGTAGCCTACCTGCTACACGATCACACAATACAACACTTCCAGGTGCAAAATTGCTAACAGACTCTACAATTCAGGACCTATGATGCTAGGCTGAACTACAGGACTCACCCGTTAGGCCTAAGGTCAGGCAAGGGCCTGTCCAGTGGTAAGCGATCACTCAGGTAAGCATTGTAGCCATAATACTGGAATTGTTTCAGTGCAATCCGTCTGTTTTCAGGACTGAGATCCTGGCCCCAGTGAGCAAAGAGAGATGAGTCAGTGAATGCTTCAGCAGGATTTTCTTCCAGTTTTGGTGGAGCTTCTACAAAAGAAAAAGACAAATAGAAACAATTTCAGACATTAATTCCAACAGGCTCTAAGGCACATTACTTTAAAAAGCATAACTTTAGGGAGAACATCACACAGAGCAGCACAGGCTGCCAGTTTACAGCAGCCTGGAAGTCTTCACGTAACATGCCCTCACATACTTCTTGTAATACTGTAGCTATTAGCACCTAAGGCTCAAAATGTAATATTCAAAATATAATTACAGTTAAAAGCTATATTTTTTATCACAGTCTAAAGGCTGGGACTGAAAATTCTAAATTAAGTAAATTTCAAAAGGATTCTTATCAGACAACACGAATTTTGTTTTGGTTTTATATACAAAGATGAACTATTTATTTTCAGCCTGAGTTACCTTGCTAGAAAAGATTAAAGTTTTGAAGGGGAAAAATAAAGACAGAGAAAAGAGACTCTATACACAAGAGTGTGTACACTTTGTACCTGAACACACATAATGGCTGCCAAGTCAGTGTGTAAAGTACAGATTCAACAGAAAAAATTCACTGCATTTGGCATCCAAGTTTAAATAGCAAATCAGTTTCAGTCACACAATAAATTTTATGGTCCAGTTTACCAATCCAGTCTATTTGAATTTTTAGTCAATACTTAGTTGTGTGCAATAATGTTACTGGAATCGTCACTTCGTAATATATATGTCATTATAAAATGCTTTTGTTCCACAAGGCCACATCTCTGGCTGCTATAACAAATAGAGAACATGGGGAAAAAATACACCTAGAACTTAATTTAAGAAGAGCTCCAGTACAATGCAATCACAGCATTCATTCTCACCACGTAGTTCCTCAAGAAGTCTGTTCCAGGTTATTTGTAAGGCTCTCTGTATCAGTACTGTCTCACCTCTCGAAGTAGCCCTTCAGTCTTTACACAGTCAACAACACAATCTAACTCAGAGAACTGTCTCTGTAAACACTTTATGATATACGGTACAATAATAAGGAAAGATCAAATGCCTTACCTGACCCTGATCTGTCATCATGAACTAGAGCATCTAATTATTTCTGAAGTCTCCACAGCCATTAACAATTAGCCATCTAACTAAACCCTCTAATTTCTGGAGAACTGTACTCGCAAACTGTAACTGTTTGGTCGCATAGTAAATTTCAAAAATAAAAGCAAATCTTTGGGAAGTCTTCAGATGTGTCCAACAGGCAGAAACTTCAGCTGTGTCCAAAGTCCTCCTCAGCACTCACACAGACCTGACAGCTGGCTGCATGGAAACACCTAAAGACAATAGTAGTATATGCCACCAGAACCCTGACTCCCAAAGAATGCAAAGCAGCACATTCTTTAATCTCTTACTAAAAAGAACCCAAATGCAAAAACATAAATTAAGAAGACTGATTTATTCAAGATGTTTTCCTTTTTTCCCCTGACAATACTGACAAGAAACCAATGATACTTGTTTCCCTGCATTACATTCCGAGCTCTATAAATACGTAATGCTTCTTCCCTTGTCAAGTACTGCATCCCAGCCTGAATTCTGGAATCAGCTCCAGTTCTTCAAAGATGAATGCTGTGCTAAACCCTCTGTTGAACCCAGAAACTATTCTGACAGGTCCTGCTACCAGAGATTGAGAGAGCGTTCACAAACTCTGTAATTAAGTAAATTAAGAAAGTTTGATAAATTCAGATCATTTTAGAATAAGAACTTGAGAAAGACATAATAGCTTTTAAGTATCAGTCCAAAAATCACAGCAACAGGGAGAGTGACAGGTATCTCTGTTGTTTGTCAATTACATGATCTCCACAAAACCAATCTGAAATTACACAAATAATCTCACAAAGTTTCTTCACATCATAAGAAGTATTCAGATCAGATACACTCCTGATCCTGGCCAGTGGAAATTAACATTGCTCAGCACTTTTCAAGAACATGCACATTCATGCTAATCAAGAAAACTATAAAAGTATTTGTTCAACCTCTTGCGTGCTATCTTAATCTGGATTTCTCCAAATCAAGCACACTTTCCCTGAAGGTTTTAACTTCTGTATTTATTATTACACTTACAATAGAAGACTGTAGGATCCACACACAGGCAAAGAGAACACCAATGCACGAAGACAACTGAATAAAAACAAGACTCATGGTAATAGTGAACGCATACGCTTTTGTAACTACAAGCAGTTCCAAGGATAATTTTCCATGGATGATGAGCCATCCCAGAAACAATAGCCTTCACAGACTCATACAGACATCTATTGAATTTTATCTAATGATTTTGCAGGTGGTGATGATCTATGAATCTCTTGCTGGTTTCTGATTGAAAAGCACCCAGTAATCTAGGTTGTATCTATAAGACTGAGATTTTCCAGCAACAGGTATCTGTGAATTTAGTCTCCAAGCTCTAAAAAACCATTTGCCAAGTGCATCCATTTTTTGTATACCAAGCAAACATGCTATTTCAATGTTATTCTACAGGAAAAAAGCTTTAGCAAGAACTTCCAATTACAATTCAAATCAATTGAATTAGGCATGCATCTCTGATAAAGTCTTTCCTCCCTTTATTTGGTTGAAAACCCTTTGGGGAAATGACTTCATTGAGTCAGTCTCTCACAAGAAATAAAATCGATTATTATAAGACTATCAGCTGCTTTTTGATTAGTAAACATGCATATTTGATACCTTAGTCTCTGTAAACAGATCTTGGCCTGAATCTCACAGCCAGTTCTTACACCTTGCTTCTACAAGTGCAGAATGATCATGGGAAGCTAAGGCTCAAAGGTGAACCAGTAAGTGGTACTGCCTGAAGCAATACAAAGGTAGACACATTTATCACATTTATTACTAAAAAGGAAAGATCAGTTTGATTCTTCCTGTTGGAAGAAAGCTTACCATGCACAGCACATTGGTGCAAATATTAACATGTGGTCTCCTCTCCATGAACTTTTCATACCATGCAAGAGCAGCACTGTACACAGACATGAGCCTGATATCAACTCTTGGCAGTCAGACACTTTGCCATTAAATTGATTGGTACCAGAGATAAATTACACAGATGTCAGCTGGCTGACACCTGGGCTGAGAAGTCTTCCTTCCAGAAGACTGGCCGTTCATGGCATCAGCACGCTGGCTCATCCCACAGCGCTTACCTGAGTCAAATAACCTCACAGCAGGTTTTCCAAAACTATTTGCATGTCTTTAGCTCATGCTTTCTGGATTAGCTATGCAGAGAGTTATGCAATTAATCTTACTGTAAACTCTATTGCTTCACCCAATCTCACTGACCAGCCTCTAAGACAGAAACTCACTCTTCTCTTTCTATGGCTCAATATACAAAGTCAGAGACAACTAATCAGAAGAAATTGCTGAAATCCAGGTTGTACGTGACACGAAACCAGTTTCCTCCTAGTAAGAAGCCGGATGTCTTATTGGTAACTGAAGCTTGACTGAACTTGCATTAACACTGCCCTTGTAATTGAATACACACGCACTGGTTTCAATAGTCTTTTCTAGTGTAGTGGGTACAAATAGCAAGGGTTGGTAGCAAAGGGACTGCAGGAGTGGCCTCTCTGGGAAAAGGTCAGGTGCTGTCCTGTGCCAGACATAGCTACTTCCACAACAGATTCACTCTGGGCCAAAGCTGAGCCCATCAAGGAAACTGGTGGCACTTCTGTGAAAAAATATTTAAGAAAGGGCAAAAAATGACAAGAATGGGGGAACAAGGTTACAAGAGAGCAGCAAAGAGAACACAGCAAAAAAGGAAATGAGAGAAGACCCATGTCGGGAAAGTAGGAGGTGTCCCATGTTATCTTTGGTTCCAAATATAAGCAAGTTATTAATTAAAATTTTACATTAATCGGTAATGAATTAAATATGTGCTTTCTTCAGAGATTGTACAACCAAGCAGCAAACAAACAGACAACAAGGTGTCTCTAACTTATTATCAGTAAGAAACTGCAGACAAGCAATGTGTTAGAAGCAACAAGAAAAGACAAGACAGCCTTAATTCCATCCAAAGTTACACATTTACTTTTACTGAGCTCAGGTGCGGCAGTGTACCAGGGTATCCCTTTCCTGCCTCTCCCTTCCTTCCTTTGTTATCTACTTACAACCTACACTTACCTTGTTAAGTTTTTGTCAATGCACATGTGCCTCGGCCAGTTTTTGTAAGGCAACTCATACAACTGGCACTCAAAGATAAAAAGCCTGATCAGACAGTAAGAAATTCAGGAAAAGCTGTCAACAAGGTGGCTGGTGACAGCCAGCATGACTTCACTAAGAAATCCTGCCTGACCAATTTGGTGGCCTTCTATGATGGGGCTACAGAACTGATGGACAGGGGTAGTGCAGTTGATGTCACCTACCCGGACTTGTCCTGCATGACATCCTTCACTCTAAATTGGAGAGACATCAATTTGATGGATGGACCACTCGGTGGATAAAGAACTGGCTGGATGGCCGCAGGCAAAGAGTTGTGGTCAATGGCTTAGAGTTCAGCTGGAGACCAGCAATGAGCAGTGATCTTCAGGGATTGGTGTTGGGACCAGTCTTGTTCAACATCTTTGTCAACAACATGGATTGAGTGGGATTGGGTGTGCTAATGACACCAAGCTGTGTGGTTCAGTTGATACGCTGGAGGAAAAGAATGCCATCCAGAGGGACCTTGACACACTTGTGAGGTGGGCTGATGCCAACCTCATGAAGTTTAAGCATGCCAAACGCAAGGTCCTACACCTGGGTCGGAGCAATCCCAGGCACAGCTACAGGTTTGTCAGAGAAGAGATTCAGAGCAGCCCTGCGGAGAAGGACTTGGGGGTGTTGGTTGATGAGGAAATGAACATGAGCCGGCTTCAGTGTGCACTCGCAGCCCAGAAAGCCAACCGTATCCTGGGCTGCATCAAAAGGAGCGTGACCAGCAGGTCAAAGAAGGTGATCCTGCCCTTCTACTCTGCTCTTGTGAGACCTCACCTGGAGTATTGTGTGCAGTTCTGGTGTCCTCAACATAAAAAGGACAT